GTGTGAATGTGTGTATATATTCAGTGTTCCTGATTGTATATGTATATATATAAATTCTTTTTTGAACCAGTTTTAACATCTTACTGGTCCCCTCATGAATTAATGATTTAAATAAAATCTTTTACATGTATTCACATTTTGTCTTTGCAAATTACTTTGGTAAGCCACATTGCCATATGCCTCAGAGCAAGCCCAGACCTAGGCATGATACAAAATTAAACTGTAAATGAAATTGGGAAGTTAGGGAAGGGAGAAATTTAAAAAAGACAAAGGGGATCTAGGAACATAGCTAGATGCTAGAGACTTATTAGAAGAGATGGTCTCTGAAAATTCCCCAGATGGGGATGGACTAACAATTACAGGTTTCAATCCTAACGTTCACTTAAGCCTGCACGTATCCTCGGGTTCGTGGTATCTCAGGGAGTGAAAGGCTGAGAGGTGTCCAAGAAGGGGTGTCTGAGTGGTAGGCACCGTGAGGATCAGAGACAGCTTATGATGAAAAGAAAAGACACAGGCTGAAGTGAGAAGTCATCAGAGGCAGGAACTTGGAGCCTGAGATTAGAAGAAATAATCCTCATCCCAAAGAATTCTCAGAGATATTGGAAAGGACCATAGGTTCCCCCTAACATGTAAAATGAAGTTCACGGCAATTTTATCTTAATTTTAAAAGACGAGATGATCACAGCAAGCTGGAGGATCTGGCCACATTCAAGAGGCCTGATATATACTTCCTTATTGGGTAGCTCCATGTGAAATTTATATGTGTTTAAATTTACACACGTACATACACATACACACTATGGAAACCAAAATTATTATTGTAGCAGCGAATATACTTTGCATTCTTCTATGGGTTTTAACTTTAAAATTATAGGTTAGTTATGTTGTTATTTGATAGAGAAACATGAAGATTAGCATTCTAAAAATAAATTTTAAAAAATCATGTTAAATGTGAATATAAAAATTATATCTTCTTATCTTATACAGTATAATTTGAATGAACTAGTTCTATCTATATATATTGCATACATATAGAAATGCAGAAAAACTAAGTAATTTAGCTTAAAACTTTATAATTTTTTTGTTCAATGTATTTAACCAATACAAGGAATTTCATTAAACACTTAAAAATATTCATAAAACCTGAACAGAGACCAGCATTATTAATTTATCTTGTATCCTAAAACAAAATTTTGGTTGACAAGTTCCAGCTACAAAATATGATTAGGAAAGAAGGCCAACAGCAGAAGAAACCATTTGAAAATGAAACTGCCCTGAAAACCTAAATTATAGTGCTGCTAATGTGAAATATACAGCATTACTAAAGTTGATTTCGTTTGAAAAGATGAGATATAAAGACCTTCTGAAAATATAGTTCCAGTAAGTTAATTAGTTAAGATGCAACTTCATATAACATCTTGCCTGAATCAAAAATATGCCCAAACTGTGATTCTTTGTAGCAAAGAACGCAGACTGGAGTTTGAAAATTGAATATCACGGGATGTCTTTGTGTTGAGCAATCCTAGTGTGGAGGCTGCTTTTCAAGTAGAGAGAAAAGGGCTCTGTCAGCGATGTAAGAATCCCATCAATAATGGAAATCACCAAGGGCTGTGTAGTGGTGCTTTGTAGACAAAATAAATCTCAAATGGATTTGATTGGTAGGAGCAGAATAGAAAGTGGTTCACTAACTATGTGTTCACTGAAAGATGAAACAGTGGCCAGAGGAGCTGCAAGAAAGGATGTTTCCCATGTGGACTAAGAAAGACAGTCATGGAAATCCATCCAGCCTGGTTCTGAGCAAAGTTTATGAGTAAACCTAATTGGAGCTAAAAGGCATTTTTCCCCATTTAAAGTATCTCCAGGGAATAATTAGCTGTCCAATTATTGTTTAAGTCCTGAAATAAACTATGATTAATCGGGCTGATCTTTTTGTCTGGTCTAGGGCACCTCTGCATTTTTATCAATAGAACACAATAAATAAAACTGAGTAAAACCTATGATTTCAGCTTTCTCAGTGTATTGATGGCCATTGGCTCCCATGTCTTCATCTCTTGCTTCATCAAGAATGTAGTACTTCAGAGCTGGTATTCTGAGAAAATTTATAAAATTGGAGAACCTAATAATTGCATTATTGAGTTCATCCCCCTTATCTTACTTCTCCAGAAACTGGGATTCATAGAAGTTAAAGAATTGCCAGGAATCATATAGCCAGAGCTAGAAGCCATGGATCTCTGTACACTTTGTTATACGGTCCTGTTGTCAGAGGACAAAACATGAGCCTAAGGACTGATAATCTATCCTTGTTGCTGGCTGCACTTCACTTTCTACTTGCATGCTTTTCTATATCCATCTTTTTCCAAGACCTTAGACCATAATTTACCTTAAGTTTCCATCAACATTTTGGACAATGTTAGGGAAATAGATAAAGGATTACTATGCCATTATAATTCCAGTAATAATTATACTTATTAATTGATATGAGAAAAATAATTGGCATGTATACATTCTATATAACACTTGGAGAAAATGTCTGATATATTCATAATAAAACATATGAAAATTATGTGATATGGTAATGACACAATGTTGATACAGTTAAGATTTTATGTCAAATATTTCTAAAATCAACTATAAATAAAAATCTTGAAAAAAACATTTTAATGTTGGGTTTATATTTTATGCTAAAATATGAGATCCTTTTTAGAGGAGATCTCCTATAACATTACTTTCCCATTTGGTTATTAACCTAAATGATGTTATTTTACTGAATTTCATATGTGCTGCAAATCATGCTGGGAAAGCATAAAGCTAAGAGGCAACATGGCTATATGAGAAAAGCTGCCATATGTGAAACCTCACTTTATGCCTATTGAAATTTTTGTATTTCAGGTCTCCTAGGGACATGTCCATTGTGCTATTGTGTAATTTTATCAGCATGAACTTCTGCTGAATATCTCCTCTTCTTTTCAAAACCCATATTTTGGTAGAGCTAACTTCAAAACTTAGTGTTGTAACATCTGTGCCCATACACCTGGGAGCCATAGAAGATGTATCCTGAAGATTATCTACATTTTCTAATCTTATAGAATGCTACAAAATGAGAGAAAAAGGTTTTCCCATTTTTCCTGGTCTGGAATTTTTTGAAAGGAACAACTTTCTGTCTCCTTAGAAAGATTCTCAAAATAAAAGAGAACCAATATTTCTAAAACTAAAGAATATCCCTACAAATGTAATAGAATGCTCATTGGTTTTTATTTGCAGATAAGAGTAATTCTTTTTTTTTGTGAGGAAGATCAGCCCTAAGCTAACACCCATGCTAATCCTCCTCTTCTTTTTGCTGAGGAAGACCAGCCCTGAGCTAACATCCACTGCCAATCCTCCTCCTTTTTCTCCCCAAAGCCCCAGTAGATAGTTGTATGTCATAGTTGCACATCCTTCTAGTTGCTGTATGTGGGACGCCGCCTCAGCATGGCCAGACAAGCGGTGCATCGGTGCATGCCCAGATCCGAACCCGGGCCGCCAGTAGCAGAGGGAGCACACTTAACCGCTAAGCCACAGGGCCAGCCCCAAGAGTAATTCTTAATAGGTATGTGCAACTTTCCATTAAGAGACACTATGAATATACACAAAACCTGGAGCTATATTCTCAAAAGGTTTTAAACAAGACTCTTTAATAACTACATGAATCAAAAGAAAGCAAAAAGAAAAATTCTAATACCGTGAATTTATTTACTACTTCTATTCTGTGGATCTACGAACAATCAATGGCACCTTTTTTAAAAAATAGAAACTATGGTTGAATCAGCATTTCTCAAACAGAAGATTGAGATCTTGACAAAGAAAAAGGGCTTCATGAATAAGGGAAATGCCTCCCACCTCGCCCTTTCATTAGTTGTTCTATCTTTCCAGAGTAAAATATGCACGTTGAAACTGCCTGCCACAGATGGTGCTGAAAATGAAATGTGCAGAACAACTTGTTGCTGAAGGATAATGTAGAATATGTGGAGTTTTCGTGGATTCAAAACAGTTAGGAAGGACAATAAGTGGACTTGAGGAACTCCACCTGTGGGTTCTCTTGACTTTGTCATCAATTTATCAAATTATGATACATACTAAACACGTACGAAGTGCCTTCTAAGTGCCAGGTGTTGTTGTAATTGCTTTACATGTGTTAACTCATTAAATTTTTATCACGACCGTGTGTGACAGGTACTTTTGTCATCACGATCTTACAGATAAGGAAACCCAGGCACTGAAAGGTTAAATAACTTGCCCAAGGTCATGCAGCTTGTCAGCAGGGGGCCAAGCTACTGCACAGCACCCTGAACACACATTGTCTCATTTTCCTTTGGTTACTTTTCATATATGTAACAGAATAGCTTTTAACTCTTACTTTGAAGCGAAGAATAAGATGATAAAAGTGATGCATTTTAAGTTATTTCAAATTTAAACAGAAATATTCAAGGCAGGGCCAAGTGAAGTATCTGTGGTAAAGAAGGAATGCAAAATTCTAATTCAAGCCCGCAGGCGTTATTACTCTCCTATAGAGAAACATCAAATTTTAATAAGTTCAACTTCAAAGTTTTTACAAGCAAGTAGCAGAATTTGACCTCCCTTCTTTCTCACATGCCGTTCCACCATTTGCAGAAGAGGACTGGTATCCCACAAGGGAGAGGGGAAAAACGGGTATTGAACTCTTCAGTAATTGGAAGAGTACTAAATGCTGGAGAAGCCACTGGGAGAAGGGTAACATGTCAGTGTATGCTGAACGTGAGCTTTCTTTGTAGGTCAAGTTAGAAAGAGGAAAATGTACCAGTTGTTCGACGTTCCTCATTTCCATGTCTTGAAGCATAACATACAAAGTAAATAATTTCTGCTGTACATAAATTAAGCCAGTAGGCACAGCACTGTGTATTTTACATTTTAGAAGTACAATGAAGGGAGCAGTGCCACGTATCTGTATCTGAAGTAACTGTTGCATCAATTCTCTATTATCTTTGTCAGACATAAAATACTCCAAAGGTACCATTTACTTGACTTGCCAGGAACACGGTGTCATGAGCCTGAACTAGGATTTGCAATAGAGAAAAGGTTATTAGAGGCATATACAGGGAAGAATATTGTGCTCTAAATACAGTGGAAATAAGAAAATGATGTCAAAATCACTAACAAGGCTTAGTAATTAAACTGTGTGAATACCCCTGCCAAGAAGAGTTCATAATTTGGAAGCTGTAGTTACTATTGACCTGATTTTACAATTGAGATCATGTCTACCTTTTAATTTGGAAGCAAAATTGATCATCGTGTTCTGTAAACAAGGCCTGTCAAGTTATTACTTTGCAACTGCTTTGCAAACACACATTTATTTAAAAGCAGCATGATTTACGATATAGTACACTAGACAAATTATTTCATTTTTTATTTCATATTTGAGCTTCTTTTAAGAGATTGCTTTATATTCGAAAATGGAATTCTTCAAGTTCTTCAATAAACACTAAATTTCTTTGATAATAGCTTTTTTAAAATAGATTTTTTAAAAAGATGTCTGTCTTTAGTATATTGGCTTCTTGCCCCAAATACTGCTTTAAAATTTATGAAGTGTTCATTCCTCCCACGTCTTCAGAAATCATTTTAATGCTCACTTATTTGTTTTAACAGTTTTCAATATTATTGTATCCTAATATTAGCCACACAGCTTGCAATTTAGAAGGTTCGTATAATGTGCGTATTTTACATAAATTGCTTCCTTAATCACTACCATATGAAGGATGACAGAATGAAATCAATACAAAAGGTTGATCTATTTGTTTTAAAGCCATCTCAGATTTTCTAAGACTCGTATCCATCTAGGCCATGATTTCGGTTTCTCATAGGCTTTCTCAATACTATAAACTTCAAATTAAATTGAATCTAAATGAGTAAAAACATCTTTATACTATTTGGAAGGACAAAAAACGGTTACAAGTATCTCCTTTTGCCACTTCTAGATTTTATTCTACTCTCAAAAGTAGGTTTAGGATTAAAGAAATGTTCCTTTACAGGCTGCAATTGCATGAGGATAAATGATGGTTGAATTCCAGGCCGGAATCCAAAGAAACTCTATTCTTGACAGGTTAATTTAAGAGCAGTCCTACCTTTTTCACCTTCTTTTTCTTCTTGGTCATCTGTTAGTGGAATCACTTCTGGTTGCTCCACAGTCGTGGCATCTTCTTGGTCTGATGAAAGCTCTAAATAGAATGAGACAGAAGGATACTCAGGGATGTTTTAGTTGGAATCATTGAGAAAATACAGTGACTAATGCATAAAGAGTTAAAGTTCTCTGGGGGCCCGCCCAGTGGCTTAGAGATTAAGTGCATGCGCTCTGCTACTGGCAGCCCAGGTTCGGATCCCGGGCGTGCACAGATGCACTGCTTCTCCGGCCATGCTGAGGCGGCGTTCCACATACAGCAACTAGGATGTGCAACTATGACATACAACTGTCTACTGGGGCTTTGGGGAGAAAAAGGAGGAGGATTGGGAATAGATGTTAGCTCAGAGCCGGTCTTCCTCAGCAAAAAGAGGAGGATTGGCATGGATGTTAGCTCAGGGCTGATCTTTCTCACAAAAAAAGAAAAAAAAGAGTTAAAGTTCTTCTTTTTCCCTCTAAGTTTCAACAGGCACACAGAGCAGAACACTGTTGCCATTCTCTAGTAATCATTGCCTAAAACACACAGGCACACCACTCATACATACAAGTCTATGCAGAAGTCATCGCGCACAGTTTTATCTCATTCTCCAATAACAATATATTCTGGTTTCAATACCTTCCGTTTCCATACACGAGCTCTGGAACTCTGCCTCAATTTTTATGTCATTCTTTGTTGAATCATTCTCTTGTCCTGTTAAGAACAATGATTGAAAAATAAAAGAAATGTGATATGCATGACCATAGCTTTATCCTTGGTTTGAAAAAGCAAAAATTTCAGAAACCATGCTCTGATCATGCATGGAGAGGTAGAGAAATTTTGAATCAAAGCACAGGGTTAAGATATTATTTTGCAAATCATCAAACTGATGTCAATTATTTTATGAGAAATATCCAGATAATTTAGGCGAAAACCTCTTCTTTGAACTGATTGGTGTAATTAGTATTTAACTCATCAATGCACTGAACATCAATGGACACAACCTGGAAGTTTTGAAATTTTAAATAATTTCTGGGCTGTATGGGCTATCTACATTTAATTTTCCTTTAAGATATAGATATTTCCTGTATTGAGGATTCCTAGAAAATTAAAACACTACTTGTATCTTCATTCTTCAATCAACAGAGCACAAAAAACTTGAATAATGTGAGCACATGGGTGTTGGGTCATCTAATAGCTCAACCGTTCTCTTAAGACACCTACTAAATATAGCAAAGGTCAGGAGAGAATTTAGCCAACTCTTGATTACTCCGAGGCTAATTATCTAATAATGGTTTTTCTTTCACACCCCTGGCTTCTCCTCCTCCCCTCCCCTGTAGAGTTTGGAACATTTAAGTGCTCATTAAGAGAGGAAATTGAAATCTGTCCATTTTGCCTCATTTTAATGAAAGATTTTATGCTGAGCATATTTAGCTGTTGAATTAAAAAAAAATTTCCAGAGCTAGGGTTGGTCGTAGGCATAAAGGGGATGCAGAGGAACTGGGCTCTTTTCCTGGGTACATCCCTGAGGTAGATTGCCTTGTTCTTCCAACTTGTTTCAACTTCCTCCTGTAAGAGGATTCCACATCCCTGTCTATGACCATGTGACCTGCAGTGGCCCCTGTGGGACAAGTGTACGCTCCCATCTTATTGACAGCAGGCTTATTCACAGGACTTGGTTTAGAAAATGGCATGACAATAGACATGAGTTGTACTACATTTGAGCAGAAGCTTCAAGATCCATTGCATGTTTCCACCAGCTCTCTTGCTCCTAATACAGTGTGCTCCTTCAGCCTAGATCCTGGAATGAAAACATGTGGAGCAGAGCCAAGCAGAGACACAACAAACCTTCATTGTTGTAAGCAAATGGGACTTCTAGGGTTATTGATACTGCAGCAAAGCTGACTTATACAACCTTTCATCTTTATAACTTCCTCTTTAATACAACTGTTCTTAAACTGCCCACAATACTACTTCCCCTTGGTTCATTCTCTGCTAAGGTGACACAGACTGAAAAAAAAAAAAAAGTACTTTTTTGACATCCATTCCTCTCAAGCTCAATTTTAATCAAAAGGATCTGAAAAAATAATTACAACTAAGGCATGTTTATCTACCTGGTCACTGAAGCTAAAAATCTCGAGCTGTCTTTGATGACTTGCTCTCATCACTCCTAAAATTCTATGAAATGCCAAATCTTGATGATTCTGCAAAACGTTTCTCTTTTCCCACTTTCCAGTCCCCTTCCCCTTTCCTCATTCAGGGATATATTGTCTCTCTCTCTCTCTCTTTTTTTTTGTGAGGAACAGTGGCCCTGAGCTAACATCTGTTGCCAATCCTCCTCTTTTTGCTGAGGAAGACTGGCCCTGGGCTAACATCCGTGCCTATCTTCTTCTACTTTATATGGGACGCTGCCACAGCATGGCTTGACAAGCGGTGCCTCAGTGCATGCCCGGGATCCGAACCCCGGGCCGCTGCAGCGGACTGCACACACTTAACTGCTACGCCACCGGGCCAGCCCCTATTGTCTCTCTCTTGAATTTGTCATTTTCTTCTCCTAAAATCTATCTTGTAAATTGCTAGAATTATCTTTTAAAACATGGATTTGATCAAGACCTGTTTCTTGCTGATAAACCCCATTCATCCCGATTTCTCCCCATTGATACTCAAAGTATGGTCCATGGACAAGCAACATTGGAATTACCTGGAAGCTTTTCTAAAACACAGGATTTCAGGCCTCATCCCAGACCTACAGAATCAGAGTCTGCTTTTTAACATAATCTCTAGGTGATTAACATTAAAGCTTGAGAAGCACTGGCCCAGAGGTTATAAGTATATCTGCAAATTATTCATCCCATAAAAAATTCCAGACTGCCTAAACACTTCACATACACTATCTCCAATCATTGTGTTAGCCCTGTAAAGTAAGTGTCATGATCCCCATTCTACTTTCAAAATTTATAACCAATTGTTGTGTCCACTTAACATGTGCTCTCAATGGCTGAAATACCCTTTTTTCCCCTTTTTTATCTGGTAAAATTCTCTTCATCTTTCAAAGCTAAGCCATCAGTTTACCTTTTTCATGTAACATTCTCTGAGTCACTAAGCAGGATTGATTTATTTTCACTTTGCTTATTGAGTTCCTTTGCTCTTTCATCTGTTCATTATTCTCCTATCACACTGTAACATAGTTGTATCTGTCTTTGTCTCTATTACTAGGTTATGAGCATTGTGAAGATAGAAATTGTGTTTTATTCATATTTCCCTTTCCTGCACCTACTAATAAGGAGTAATTAATAAATGTCTATTTCATTGGCCTTCTATTATAGTACTCATCAATGTCTGTAAATAGTAATTAGGGACTATAATTTACTTCCTATTGCACCCTATAGCAAAAAGGTAAGTGCCTTTGGCTACTAAGCATTTTATATACTGTATTTATTGCAAAGAACCCTGGGAAGAGAACTGAATGTTTTAAGCAAATCACAACCTCTTTGAGCTTCAATTTCATTCTCCATTTTAAAAAAAGGCTGAAAAACTAGGTAATATCTTAGAATCCTTCTATCTTTGGCATTATATAAGGATATGTCTCCTGGTGAAGTTTCTAGTCACCATTGACATCTGTGTATTGGGAGGATGATATTGAGAGGGAACCTTCACTGTTTATCCAGTGAGCCTCATTCTCTGTCACTGTTGATATGGGGAACTGACCATCACGCCCACTCCCAGGTCCCCGCTGGGACCTTGAACTCATCATCTGTGATCTGCTTTGTCTGTACAATGAAGGGAAAGAGCAGAGCCTCCAGAGAGTAGAAGCAGCCCCTCTGCGTTCTTGTGTGTCTCCAGTCCAGGGCTCCACTGGATAAACTTTCAGAGGGATTCAATCAAGAATAGGAAGATCACAGTCCAATGGGGCCTGGGGCACTGCTGATAAGGTGAGACTGCCTGAGGTGGCAGCCTAAGTCTGTGGAGGAATACTAGGGTTTTTCTCCATGACCAGTAAGGTCTGGCACTTCACTTTGAGGATGAGAGGCCAGTGCAAAGCTTTTTTGGAGTATTTCTCTCTCCTGCCTTTTCCACATGTTCCCCCTCTTGATCGGTTTCACTTGTGTGCTTTACATATTTTGGCAATCTTTTCTTGAAATGGAAATACATATATTTTCTTCTTTCTAATTTTTCTGAAATAAAGTTAGTAAAAAATGGGTAAAGAAATGAGATGCACTGCTTTGAAATCCAAGAATAATCATATGTGCTCACTCCTGAGCAGGATTTGGCATATTACATAGAGGAGGTATGTGTGGGCTCCTTGCCCTGCACCCAGGCCTGCTGTGTGTTAATGATGACTCCAGGGGTCTCCAGCCCATCTGCCTTTCTCTTTAGCTCACTCAGACATTCCACATTCCATCTTGCTTTCTTGACCCCATGGGGGCAATCTTTATGTTTGCTTCTCCACATTCAGTCTAGTTGAATTCCATCCACTATCCTCTGCTCTAATCCCTCCTGGCAGAGGAAACAAAGGAACAGAAAGGGTTCCACAGTTTATATATATATATTTTATACAGTGAACTCAATGATCCATACTAATGGGAGGGGACCATTAGAACAGATAATCCAAAAATCCATTCACTTCTCTTTAGAAACAGATCACATGATTGCTTCTTGGAGCCCTGGTAATTAAGTTTGGCTCAAGCTAATGCTTTAATTAATTTGCATAAAAATTGGTCTAGGAACATCAGTCTGGAATTAAACATTTCTAGAGAATGAACCTAAACTCACTTTGTAAATGGACTGTTTTTAAACAACAGTAACCACAATATAGTTTTATTGTTTGCAGATTATCAGATGTTCAGATCTTCCTAAGAACAGAGATTTTGTTTCTTTGATGCTTGTCTTAAAGATAATGGAAATTGTATCCTTTCGTTAAACTTGAAACTTGATTTCTGCTAATATTCAAAATTTTACTTTTTACCATGTCTAAAAATACCCCAGAATAAGAGCAAAAGTTAAACCTACCTAAGTGTGAATTTGATTATCTTTTAATGACCCTTAGTTTTCTCCTAGGGCCAATAAAACTTACTCCCCCAATGTAACTTATTTCTAAAATTATTAATTTTTTGTAGTTACAAAAGATAGGCAATTTCTTTATAGAAACACTAAAAAATACATACAAGTATTGAGAATCATGGATAATTTTACAACTAAGGGATTCCCACTGTTAATATTATAAACTGCCATCTTTCTCTTGTGTGTGCATCCATTTGAATGTAATATATGTATATATGTATACAAATATATGTATCTGTATATATTTATATGTGTATGTCCAAATATATACATATCCTGGGATCAAAACGAATTTACACTTCGATTCACACTTTTTTAGTTTATATTTTTATAAGCATCTTACACTGTCATTAGAATTTCTTCAGAAACCTTATTTCTAAAGGATGTGTTATATTCCATGTTATAACAAACTTTTGGATGTTTCCTCTTTTTTTTGCCATTGAACACAGTATTGCAAGGAACATTTTTGTAAATAAATATCTCTCTACTTTTGATGGGGGCTACTTTAAAGATAAATTCCTAAGGCATAATTCTTGGATCAAAGTACGAACATTTTACCTTTAATTAGATTTTGTCAAAATTGGTGATGAGCACACTATGCCCTTTTAGTTTCCTACCAACGGTGTGTGAGCATATTTATATGCTATCCATAC